GAAACATGGCCTTCTTGAATTATGGCAGTGGCAGTTCATCTTATTCCAAAACATCGCCACATTATCCGATTAGATCTTGTGTTAGTCCTTTTTTTCCAGCCAAGTATATGAATGGTCTGTTGTAGCCTGTCCTCAGTGATGGGGCTGCCATCTATCGTTGGCATCGAAAAAACGCCTTTTTGAATTATGTGCTGTGTTTGTGGTGCTTGCTCATTTAGTATTTAACATTATGCTCTGGGTGGAGCTACTCCCTGCATTCCTACTCTGTTTATGCTCATATGTACGTTGATGTAGATACCTCGAGGTTTTTTATTAGAATATCAGGGGGGCTTCGACTGCATTTCATCTGGAGGAGAAGATGTAAGTCTCTTGTATGCCATCTTTGAAAATATTTTTAACTCCTGTTACTCTTCTTGGGGGCATATGGCTTTTACAAAGCATCGCCATCTTACTTGAGTAGATCATGTCGTAGCTTCGTTAATTGATCTCCTGTAGTATATACTAGATGATAGGACTGTCAACTATTTTGAATTATGTATGGGGTCTTTGCTTATTTAGTGTTCAACCTTATACTATAGGTGGCGCTATTCCCTGTCATTATATTTTGTGTTATCCTCATGTGATGCCATCTATCGTTTCCTAGAAATAACTTCTCCATGTAGAGTTGGGGACATTAATTACTTAGTGTTTGCAAATTTCCTCTCGGCGGCGCTATCCTATTTTGGGTGTTTCCGGACATGTTGATGTCACACGTTTAATTTTTAGAATTTCCGCTGCGTATGATCGACCTAAGGTTTTATTTTTAAGGACATTTTCATTTTGAAAATCATTATTGAGTATTATTAAGAATTATGAGACACCTTAATGATATGAATTTATATCGTTCCCATCTCTTATCTAAGCACATGCTTTTTTTAATTTAAGTACATCCCATCAAATCTGATCGATCGATCTCAACTTGATTAGCTACAAAGCTACAGTATTATTTTTACGCTTGAATTATTGTTATTATCATTTTTTTTTTTTTTTTTTTTTTGGTTTTCAATTTTCATTTTCCATTTCACAAACAAAACAATTTTCTACACACATTCACCTCACCTTAAACAAAATATATTTTGTTCAGCAAAAGGGGTATTAGGGGTGTTGGACGGAGGTTGTGGGCTTATTATCTAAGTCGGTATTGTGTATGAAATGAAACAAAAAAAAACTCATGAGGTTGTGCGATTTTTCTCAAAAAAACATTAACAAAAATTTATTTTCAAATTGAAAAAAACATTTGTGTTAATCGATGTTAACAAATGTTTAAAGAAAATGTAAATATCGTAACCCTCAATACTTCGTGGAATTTATGGTTGATAAATGTAGAAGTTATGTATTTATTTTTTATTGTATTTTTTACAGTATTTTTTTTAAATAATGTTTTTTGGTAGAATTAATAAACCTTGATGAATCCTGTTTCGTTTCTGGGTTAAGTTCACCTGTCGCATAAAACTAAAAAATATGCATGTTTTTTAATGCCTAAAGCCTCACCCATTTAATCGGAAGCATTACATTTTAACAACAGTAGTTGAGTGATGCCCTAGGTGCTGCGGATGTTTTTTTGTGTGCGTGTTATCTTTAGGAGAATATATTTTTTTATCCATACAATAAGATGGGTCACACATTATGACTTATAAAATTTTATAAACTGTAAATTATAAAAATTATAAATTAAATAAAAAATCTTAAATTATAAAGGTAACAAATTAGCTTACGCGACTAGTAAGCTAATTTGCTGTGCTTTGTCCTAGATAATGAAGGCTGCCGCAATGTATAGTTGCTAAGAAACAACGCCTATATGAATTTTGTGCGGTAGTTGAGGTCCTTAATTATTTAGTGTTGTCATATTTCTTAGGGTGGTGTTATCTCCTATCGTTTCTATTTTGTGTTATCCCCACATGGCGATGCCACGAGTTTGGTTTCTAGAACATCAGAATACATTTCATCTGAAAGAGGGAATATACAACTTTTGTATGCCATCTTAGAAAATAATTTATTTTTGTTGTTACTCCTCTAGGACTTTTACAACATATCGTTAATTATTATTTTCTTATCAAAACTATGTAGATGATTGGCCTGGTTAGCATGTCTTAGGTGATAGGTCTGCCATCTACCGCTGTCTAGAAACAACGCCTCATTGAATTTTGTGTATTGGTTGGGGTCCTTGCTAATTTTGTGTTTGTCATATTTTCTGGGTGACGTTATCTCCTGTCATTCCTATTATGTTGATGCCCCAAGGTTTGTTTCTAGAAGATTAGGGTGCTTCGGATACATTTCATTATGATGCCTTCTTAGAATTTGTTCTCAACTTGTTCCACTGTCTTAAGTGATAGGACTGTCATCTGCCGTTTCCAAGAAGCAACGCCTTCTTTAATTATTAAGTATTGTTTGACATTTTTTAGTATTTTTTTCCAGCTAAGTACATGATTGGTCTGTTTTATCCTATCCCATGTAATGTCTGCTGCCAACCTCTATCGTTGCCTAGAAACAACGTCTCTTTGAAGTGGTTGGAGTCCTTGCTTATTAGGTGTTGCCATTTTCCTCTGCTGTCAATTCCATTTTGTGTTATCCTCATGTGGTCGTACTTTTTCTATTCGCCTCCGCCATCAGGTTATTTAGTATTTATTATTCAAGATGGGCTTCAGATTTTGAAAAATCACTGAAGTTTTAAAGTCCTCATTTAGTTAGGAGAATGTGAAAAATTTCAGCTCTAGGAGAAGTACTTTAAATAAGAATTTTTAAAGGCTTTCTATATGCTGAAGAAGTCATCCATAGATAGACTAATGCAGAGATCTTCCATATATCTTCGTATAAATTTTACACAGATAGAAGTCCTTTAAAGTGGTCTTATAAAGATAGATGACATTTGAAGAAGCCTTCCATAGGTCGATAAAGGACTATTTGCGAGGTGCTCTAATGTTTCAGTCGTTTGAGGACATTTAAAGCAATCTTCTTTGGATAAAAATGCATTTAAGTTGTCTTCAATAAATAAAATAATTTTCATAAAAAAAAATCTTCTGCAAAGGGTCCTCTATAGGTATATAACCTATATGAAGAGATATTTAATAGTAGAAAAACACATTTGAGGTGTCTTCTATATGTCGTCTATGGACAAAATATGTTTTTAATAGATCTTCAACAGATATAATTTTGAAAATGCCACTTTTGGATTGTCTTCTACATGTCTTCTTTGGGCAGAATATCTGTCAAAAAAACTTGTGCAGAAAAAAGACTTCTTTAAATAGTTCTTCTGTTAACAGAAGACTACTATGACATTTATAGGTAGAAGGATCTTCTGTAGATAAAAGCCTGGAAAGAGGGTTAATATAAATAGAGACCACCTTTGTAGAAGCCATCTATAAATCGATAAAGGAATTTTGGTGAAGTACTCTATATATCTTAATAGAAATGGAATTATAAAAGAAGTCTATAGTGGTAGAAGGCTCCTAAGTGATTATTTTGCAGATCCATTCTATAGATCGATAAAGAACTTTTCGTGAAGTACTATACAGTCTTAATACTAAAGGACCTTTTAAAGGTATATTTCATAGGCTTCGAAGTGATCTTCCATTGAATGGTTTTTAAAAACAAAATCTTCTTCGGGGGATCTTCCATAGACATAAAATATTTGAAGATGTATTATGTCCCAAAAAATTGTTAAGATATATTTTAGATGGACATTCTATGGACAAAAGATCTTTCAAGTAGCCTTCTATAAATAGAAGCACTTTAGTCTTCTGCCAGAGGTATTCTATGAAGATACATTTAACAGTTTAAAGGTCATTTGAAAATACCTCTTTTGAGGGTATTCTACATGTTGTCTATGGACACAATATGTTTTTTAATCGGTCTTTTATAAATATAATATCTTTCAATCTTCAATTCATCTATTGACAGAACACATCTTAAGTGGTCTGCCATAGACAAAAAGACGTCCGAAAATGCCTCCTTTAGAATATCTCAACTGTAGAAAAAAATTATCTTCTTTTTAAACTTCCCCTCCTAAAAAGCAACACAACAATGAAAGTAATACCGAATATCGTATCCGAGGTCCGAACACATTTAATGTTGAGTATAATTTCTGTCCAGATTTCTACAAATGTTGTGCCCTTGGCTGATAACCCGAGAATATTTTTAACTTATAATTTTAATAGGATAAGCAATAGAGTCGATGTAAACCCTAAGAAGATAGGACCCGAGTAAAAATCTATTAGAAAACCGAGACCAAATATGCTAAATTAACATTTCAGCAATGCCAAACATTAAACACAGGATTGAAGGTTTTTGTCAGGACCCTAGAACGAAGAGAATGTTTGAAAAAAATGGCAACAGGAATATTTTTTCAACTGCCAAAGAACATCTAAACCAAAACCCCATCCTCTCATTTTTGTATATTGTTAATATTCAAAATCTAGATTTTCAATATTTTCCATTAGGCGCCCTTTTATTCGAAAGCCTATTTTTATTCAACCTTATCTCCGACTCTGTCTGTTTCCTCCCTAAGTTGTAAATCTATTCAGACACTTTGAAGAAGAAAAAAAGGTAACTAAATCTTTTACATGGACTATCTAATTGCTACAGCGTAACTGATGTTTCGAGCGACTCATCCCCTTTATTAACAAGCGGCTTTAATCTCTTCGAAAAATAAAAGAAGATGAGGTTTAGTACCTGCTGCATTTCCACTGCATTTAAAATAACTTGTTGGATGAGGTCGCAATCACAGCAAATTCCAAAACAAGATTTAAGATTCTATTGTTTTCACTCACGTTAGGGTCAGGTACCTGTTCTGGCAGTCAACCCACACAGCTGCGGCTCATCTGGACATTATAAATTAAAAAAAAAAAATTCGAAATGGTTTTTGGAAAATCAATTTAGATTTTAGTTACGAAAAGACCTTAGAACGTTAAGGGCGGAGAGGACTTTTGGATCCTCTTGAAAATAAATTTTGGAAAATATTTTTAAATAATTGACAAATGATGAATTGCTGTGCCCAGAGTAATGGTAGTTTTTTTAATTTTTTTACTATTTAATTATTGTTAAAAATTATCTCTCTTCTTATTTTCCAGTGACGGATGATGGCAAAAAGATCATACCACCCACCAAACCAATGTCATGCGCAAAATCTTGGCTGCAAGAGCAAACGCGAAAAACATTCAAAAAGAAGATTCTACACAAACGAATACCCATCTTAAGGTGGCTGCCCAAATATAATAGCGAGGATGCGGTTGGCGATTTAGTGGCTGGCATAACAGTTGGCTTAACTGTTATACCACAAGCCTTGGCCTACTCCGGTATAGCCGGTTTGCCAGCAGCGGTAAGTTGAAGATCACAAATATAAAAAAATACAATGGAACATGAAAAAAGAAAAAACAAATCATCCTCCACTGTATTTAATGTTTTTAAATAATTAATAATTATTTTCCCCCTTTTCTTTCCAGTACGGTCTCTATGGTTCCTTTTTGGGTTGTTTCGTTTACATATTCCTGGGCAGTTGTAAAGATGTTCCCGTTGGCCCCTCCGCCATTGTGGCCTTGTTAACATTTCAAGTCGCCCAAGGCTCATGGCAAAAATCTGTCCTTTTGTGTTTAATGTGTGGCATCGTGGAAATGTTAATGGGCCTTTTTGGTCTTGGATTTCTAATAGATTTTGTCTCCGGGCCTGTATCCTCTGGTTTTACATCGGCTGTATCGTTAATCATTTTAACATCGCAGGTGAAAAATATCCTCGGTATATCAGCCAAAGGTACAACATTTGTAGAAATCTGGACAGAAATTATACATAACATTAAGGATGTTCGGGCATCGGATACGATATTGGGCATTACCTGTATTGTTGTGCTGCTTATTATGAGGGTAAGTTTGAAGATAATTTGTTTCTTTTGTATAACAAGATAAGATATTCTGGATGCTAAAATAGGTAGTAGTGTTGGAAAAATATTCCGTTTTATGAAGAAAATTTCTTAAAAGTATTTGTATTTGTAGGATAACTCTTGAAAAATCTTGAAGGCCTCCCAAGAGGTTGTATTTTGAAGAGTCATTTGTAAGACAACTACAAAGGCTTCTTGCCAATAGAAGAACGAAAGCACTTCTATTTATAGTAAAACTCTTGTGTCTATGGACGATACACATTTATTTATTTCCTAAAGGAGACATTTTTAGAGAAAAAAATTAACAGAAGACCATTTCAAGGGCTTTGTGTTAAAGACCTCCCCTCGAAAATTAAAAGAAATTTCAGATTTTATTTATTTCCCAAAAGAGGCATTTTGAGAGAAAAAATTAACAGAAGACCACTTCCAAAACTAGTGTTATTAGACCTCTCCTCCATCATTAAAAAAATCAGAATTCAGAATTTCTTCTTCAGAGATATACTTACTCTGTAGATAAACTGCAGAAGATTTCTCCAGAAGATAAATTCAAAGATAGAAGACCCTTTGTAGAATACTGAAATTATTCCTATAATACAAAATTGAAATTCCTTTATCGACCCGTGGAAATCTTTTTTTAAATGCCATCGACCTTTATAAGACACTTTCAAAGGTCTTCTCTTCTTCTATATAAAAAGATTTATTCAGAGGACTGCAAATATAGGCTATTTATAAAACACCTTGCAGAACCTCAAATGCAATATTATTTTATCTTTAAATGAACAATGGAATAGATATCAAATGACTATTCGAAAAACAACGTAAGAGAGAACTTCTAATAATTTTATTAATCTATGGGATATCTCTTCATCTATCTATGGAAAACTTCTTCGACAGATAAAGGGATTTTTTCAAATATCATTTTAAAGGTTCGTTTGTTTCAAAATTTTCCTCAAAAAGCCGTAATTTACATTTTGCAGTCCTTATAGAGTAAGAAACGTATGTTCAAAAACTTATCGGAATTGGTCTAGTTTTAGGTAAATGCCTTATATATCCATTAAATTTTTCTTATTAGATAGCACAATTCTCTACCAAAACAACCTATTTTGGTTCATCTTCAACCAAATTCGCCATAATTTGATATTTTGAATTTTATTGGCGGAAAATCTTCCTTACTTACTTAGCTGGCTTATGATAGGGTTGTTCTATAAGCCACGCTTAAAAAAGATTTCCAGGCACGTCGGTCTTGAGCATATCTCATCCAATATGCAAAACCATTTTCCGAGATGTTGTCCTCTACATGAACTTTCCATCGGATTCGTGGCCTTCCCCTTCTGCGTGAATCATCGATCGTTTTTATATGCCCTTTGGGGCATCTCAATCCATTCTCACAAGATGGCCTAGCCATCGTAGTCGCTGCAGCTCCATCCGTCTGACTCATACTCATAGTTCATTCGACGTCGATATTCACCATCGACGCAGATCGGCCCATAGATCTTCCGGAGAATTTTTCTCTCAAACACTCCAAGAGCTGCCTCATCTGCTTGCGCAAGTAGACATGCATCAGAGTGTAGAGTGTGAATTTGGTCTGGCGAGAGGTCCACTAATGATTTTATATACATTTTAGGCCAAGTTGTCTGCAATTGGATATTTTGGATTTCAAAACTCATTGGATTGATTTTGGCTATCAAAAATATATAAAGTCCACTATTAGGTATAGCCCCTATATATCTAACGTAACCTGTTCGATTTTCGGTGTATATCCGAATTGAATGTAATTTAATATATAAATTTCGCATTGTATTATAAATCTTCTAAACCTTTACTGTAGACCTCACTTAGATTTTGTGATTTTATATTTTGTTCTGATTGGGTAGCTGTTACCCTGCCAAAAATAATCATATAGGTTCACCCATTATATCGATAAATATACCTTCTGATTTTCGGATGTTATTTTGGCAATTAGGCTTCCAGTTGTAAATCAATCTTCTCTACGAAAAATCATAAATTTTGGCACAGTTTTAGTTTTAACCCTCTTAACCATAACTACATCCCTAATTAAGAGTATTTTGAGATTTTTTTGATAAAAAAAAAATCCAGCAGCACCCTATTCATTAAAGGTTAGGGTACACAGAAGATTATATATTCAATTTCAGAAGCGCCATCTATGTACACAGATGAAAAATTTGAACTAACATGCTATTGAATCCCTTAAAAGTTCTACAAATGCATATAATTTTGAATTAACGCTATCTTGGTTTTATAATTGACGTGCATATAGGACTAACAAAAAATTATATAAAACTCAACGCTAACAACGCCATCTATATGTCAGATGGGTGACTTTTTAATTCACCTGTTATTAAAAACATCCTTTGGAAATCTTACCTATATTATTATTTTGACTACTTTACAGTATCATTTCAATATTCATAACTTTTTCCCTCTCTCTTTTCAATTACAGCTCTTGCCATCCTGTAAAATTGGCCCCAAAGAGCCGCACTTACGCACCAAGGCACAAAATGTGATTAACAAAATAATTTGGATTGTTGGTACATCACGCAATGCCATCTTGGTTATCGTATGTTGTATTATGGGTGTCCTACTGCACTCGTATAACGAGGGAACACCCTTTAAAGTTATTGGTTACATACCACAAGGTCTGCCCAGTTTCGCCCTGCCACCTACCCACCTAAGTGTCAATGAAACTCTCAGTGGAAAGGAGGAATCGTTTGTTGATATGATGCGTAGCATGGGTTCGGGATTAATTGTGATACCATTGATATCGCTGATGGAAAATATTGCCATTTGTAAGGCATTTGGTGAGTTTTTGGAATGAAAGAGATTTTTGAAATTTTTACTAATTTGTTTCATTCTTGTTTTATAGCTAATGGCAAACCCGTTGATGCCTCCCAGGAATTAATTGCCATTGGTGCAGCCAATATTGCCAATTCCTTTGTCCAAGGTTTCCCCGGTACGGGTGCATTAAGTCGTGGTGCTGTCAACAATGCCAGTGGGGTGCGCACTCCCCTTAGCAACATCTATTCTGGAGCTTTGGTCATTATTTCCTTGATCTTCTTTACACCCTATTTCTATTATATACCCAATGCCACATTGGCGGCCATTATTATTGCCGCTGTCGTGTTTATGGTGGAGGTTAAGGTTGTCAAACCCATGTGGAGGGCGAAAAGTAAGTGTGATAATTCTCCCCTAAAAATATATTTTTATTAACCCGTTTTTCTTCTCTCTATCTCCCCTTTTTCAGAAAGCGATTTACTTCCCGGCCTCGTTACCTTCATTGCCTGTTTGGTTTTGCCCCTAGAAATGGGTATTTTAATTGGTGTGGGCCTCAATGTCATCTTCATTTTGTACAGTGCTGCTCGCCCCAAATTGTCCACCGAAATCTTGACCACTCCCGGTGGCACAGAATATCTAATGATTACCCCAGATCGTTGCATCATCTTCCCCTCTGTGGACTATGTACGCAATTTGGTGAATAAACAATCGCTGCGTAACAATGTTCCCGTCGTGATAGATGCCTCTCACATTTATGGTGCTGATTTTACAGCAGCCACGGTCATTGAATCTCTTCTGCGGGACTTTGCATCCCGACGCCAGCTTATATTTTTCTACAATCTCAAACCAAGTATTTGTGCAATATTTGAAAGTCTATCGCCCACGGAATTTGTGGTCTACTATCAGGAACATCAGCTGGATGAACTGCTCAAGGAACGAGACTATTCTCAGGATAAATTGCAAACGGTGGGAGTTTAAGAAAAGAGTGATAATAGGTTTTGTAAGCTTTAGTGTTAAACACTAGTTTTAGGGCAATGATACTAAGATGTTAACTAACCAACCACACATCCGCCCAATTGCAGGGTAGATGAATTTTTCTTTTCAAAACAGGTTATACATTTAATTTAAGAAAACAAAAACTACATTTTTTTGGAATTAATTAAAATATCAAAAAAAAAACTTTGTGATTATAGAAATTTCCCATTTAGCAAATTTATCCCTGCCAGGATTTCCTCTCTAAGTATTGCATAATTTAAGAATTTTTGTAGACTCACCCACACCCATGCACAACCAACACAAAATTGTTGATAAATGATGATATTGTATTAGTGATTAGTGACTCAGGTTACAATAATAATTATAATTTACAGAATATGTATGTATGTTATTGTCCCCCGACAATTCTATCCAAGAAGCTATTTTAGTGATATTTTTTTGAAAAGAAAAACACATTTTTTTCTGTTTCATAAAAACTTAATAAGAATTTCTATTTGATTTTTGACCTAAACAACAACAAAAAATGTTATAGTATTAATTATAATATGTATATAAAATCCGTTTACATATCTATGTATGTGTATTTATTTTTTAAGTTACTAGTTAGTATTATTAGTTTTAAGAAAACAAACGCTAAAAAAGACAATAAGTATATCTTTTTAAATAGTAGTCTTTAAACGAGCAATGAAAAACAAAAATAAGAAACGAAACGTAGAACAATAAAAAACCCCCAAACTTAATAAAAAAATATATTAAAATTATTTTTTTTAAATTGTGATTACAAATGTGAGGTTATATTGAATAAAATATAGAGTAATTTGTATCATTTTTTGATTAAAAATACCCAATAATGGAGATATTTGTATTAAATTTTGAGGAATCATTTTGGGGTATTTTTACTGAAGAGTTGATGAAAAAATTATCGCCTACTCAAGATTCACTAAGATGGGATACAACTACGACCGATCCATAAATTCACCTACCCAAATATATTGTAGATATTTAAAAAAATGTTGTTGAAGGACTCATCATACAATATCAAGGATGCAAGAATGAATACCTACCGTCTATCACAACATGATCGATTTGAATTCTCGTTGCTTGATCGGAAGAAATCCAGGTGGTCTATATTGAAATGCTTGAATCTGGCGCTGCTAACTACCATGTTGCTGCTGTTAACCAAAAAACCACAGCCAAATTCATATCTCGTTTCATGGCAGCTATAATACAGTGCGTAATAATCTAATTTACTTACACCTGTCCGCCTTTCCAAAAAATGTGCATTGCAGATCTGACGCCAATTTATTAAGCATCCATCTTCGCAGAACAGGACCAAGCGAACAGTTATCCGGAGATCCAAGAATCCTAAAAGAGACTTGCAGTCACTATCATTTACATCCAGCGAGGTAGAGGCAATTACCTCCAAATCGAAGCCAACCAAAGCCCTTGGTCCATGTTAAAGAAGCTTGGAGCAATAGGACTGGGCTATCAGACCAAAGTTCTCGAGTTATCGATGTCACAGTTGGTAATTCCTGACATTTGGAAAGTTGTCCGGATTATTTCAATCTTAAAACCTGATAAATCCGCTACTAATGAAGCATCCTACCGCCCGATTTCTCTTTTTCACCAGTAGCCAAGGTTTTAGAGTCTCTATTGCTTCCGTCCCTGAAACTGCATTTCGTTCTTGATTCCCACCAACACGGTTTCAGGGAATCATATAGCACAACGACGGCTTTACAAGAAATTACTTCCAAGATTGCGAATGGCCTCAATCAGCGACGACCACCAGAACGGACCATTGTGGCAGCTTTTCAAGGCGTTTGATACGGTCGATCATTCCGAACTGATATCCGACAACACAAATTCCACCCTTCCGAGTGATATCAAGCGTTGGCTTCCCAACTACCTTAATGGACGGCAGGCCTTCTTTGAGTTCCGTGGCCATAAATCCAAATATCGCAAGATCAAAATGGGAGTACCGCAAGGCGGTATCCTATCTCCCATTTTGTTCAACATGTATCTTGCGAAACTCTTCATTCCTCCATCAGATGTTTCAGTGGTGTCGTACGCCGATGACGATTATTTCGTCCGGCGTTAACATTGACGACGTAAGTGCAAGAATTTCCAACTATTTAGCACCAACTTCTTCCGGGAGCGCAATCTAAAATTATCCACTGCAAAGTCTACTGTGGCACTTTTCACTTCCTGGACGCGAGAAGTCAATCTAGAACTTGGCATTTCCGTTGAAGGTGGGCGTATCCCAACCGTCCATAATCCGAACATCCTTGGGGTGGTTTTCGATAGCCTCCTTCATTTCTCCTCGCATTCCAATTACATCAACCAGAAGGTGAAAGCTAGGAATAAAGTTCTGAAAGCTTTGGCTGGCACCTCATGGGGCAAGGATATAGAAACGTTGGTAACGACTTATAAGGCTATAGGTCGTTCCATCCTGAATTATGCTGCCCCAGTTGGACTTCTTTCCTTAGTGACACACAATGGAGATCCTTGCAAGCAACCCAAAATAATGCACTCCTAATTGCAACCGGATGTGTCCAGATGACAAGCGTCGATCGCCTCCATGAGGAGACCAGGATGCTGTCAGTCAAGCAACATAATGTGTTGTTCAATAGACAGTTCCTGCTGGCATGGTATCTGTCGTGTCATCCCAACAATCAAACAGTGATGGCAGATCCAATTCTGCGACACATCCGCCAGGACTTCAGAGCTATCGTGTTGGCATCCAAGACGTCATTTCATCGGACGTTAACAGAATGTCGATAGCGAACGCGGTCTCCGAAGCCATAAATGGCTACAGATGCAATAAAGTCCTACAACAACATCCTCCTGTAATTTCAGAGAGTGAGAGGCTTCTTCCTAGGCAAACCCGTTCAATTTTGGTACAACTAAGGTCCGGATACAGCAATGTATTCAACTCGTATCGAGAGCGCATTGTCCGCGGAAACCTAAACAGGCGCCCTTCATGCCAGCAAAGCCCTCACGACACACACCATATATCTAATTGTCCGTCCGAGCCTACGAGTCTATTGCCTATAGACTTATGGCTAAATCCGAATTCTTAAAACAGCCAACCTGTTACAACAACAACAACAAACCAGAGCCGTCTTGGCACAACTGAGCTCTGCATAGTGTAGCAGTCTCAATTCATACTGGGCACAATTTCTCCCGCTACCCTCTTCAAATCCGAATTCCTAAAACAGCCAACCTGTTACAACAACAAACCAAAGCCGCCTTGACACAAACGAGCTCTGCATGGTGTAGCAGTCTCAATTCATACTGGGCACGAATTGATAGCACGGTGGACATGACACAATACACCTCTTCAACTACCCAGCCAAACCCACTCATCTAACTCCATTTCAATTTTGGACACAGCTGATGCAGGTCGCAGCCTTCATGAACCTGAAGTTAGAAATAGGACCAGATTAAAGAGAAAATACCCAGCAGTATAATCTGTTACAACAACAAATATTCTAAAGTTCTACTGATTGTCCTATGAAAGTATATATTTCCTCATTAGAACCAAGGTAGAATGACGCGTCAACGCGTAGAACACATGATGGGTGATATCAAAAACAGTATTACCCACTTCTGTCAATTGTACCCGTGAACAGTATTATCGATCATTATTGCTGGATACTAAAATTTTCATGTTATACTACTTGAAAATTAAATTGTAGATTATATTTATAGAAAGATATGTATATATTCGAATTATGTTAATTAAATATTTTATATAAATAAAATATTTTTGAAAAAATGGATTAATTATGGCAACGCCATTTGGGGTTAATTTATATTTTGTGTACAGTACCAAATGTACTTTTTTTTAATACCAGATGGCGTACTAGGTCCATTGGAATATTTAAAGCGATTAATTCAGATTTTTTTCTTCGCTCGGGATTTTTTATGCTTCAATTTAAATTAAAATCTCGAAAATGCTATTTATTTAACGAAAGAAAATATTTTATTAATACTTTTATTTAATTAGTAAAATATTTAATTAATTTTAATACCTTCTTTGTTAATCAATTGTCGATTAATCGCTTTGTCTCCAAATCGATCTACTTCTCCCTACTGTAAACTGCACGTGGCTGTCAAAAAATAAAAACAATGTTGACATTTTATAAATTGTTGCCGTAGTTTACCCAACGTTTTAAAGATCCACTACCAAGAATTATTAAAAAATCAAATAAATTTTAAATATTTTGCACAGTTAGTGCCTGCATTCTATAAAACACCCACACAATGAAACGTTTAAGTGATGAACGGGCCAAAATTCTCTTCGAGAAGCTATCAAAATAGTAAGTCAATTGTTTACCCTTTTTTCGTTGCTCGAAAATTCTTCACCGCATTTTTTTTTTCTCTTGCAGCATTGGCACAAATGTAAAACAATTGATTGATCGTCCCGATGGCACCTATTGCTTCCGTGAACACTTGGATCGTGTCTATTATGTTTCGGAGAAAATATTGAAATTGTCAGAATGTTTTGGTCACAAGAAGCTCATCTCTGTCGGCACATGTTTTGGTAAATTCTCCAAAACGAACAAATTGAAATTCCACATTACGGCTCTGTATTATTTGGCACCCTATGCTCAATACAAAGTTTGGGTGAAACAGTCATTTGAACAACAGTTTCTATACGGTAATCATATACCCAAGTCGGGTTTGGGTCGTATTACCGAAAATGCCGGTCAATATCAAGGTGTTATTGTGTATAATATGAATGATTTACCATTGGGCTTTGGTGTATTGGCCCGATCAACGATGGATTGTAAAACGGCCGATCCACTGACAACTGTGTGTTTCCATCAATCGGATATTGGTGAATATATTCGCTCGGAAGATACTTTGTTTTAGAAGAAATTACTATACTACCTACTATTTAGTTTGTATTTTTTATTGTGAAAGAAAAAAATAAAGTAAGTTAAGATTTATAAAATAATGGTTTATTTATGAAATTATTTTTAGCAAATGTTGGCATATTTCCTGAGATATGGACCTCTAACATTCCATTGGGACCCTTGTATATTCCTATTTTTTTAATTCATTATGGGTATATTTTTTGTGGATTTTAAAAATTTTTTTAAGACCAGCAGAACTATATGCCTGAATTTTTTTAAATAAGTTATCTTTAAGAAAAGCAGAACTATGGGCGTGGATTTAAAAAAAATTTCTTCGAGACCAATAGAACTATTGGGATTGATTTTTTAAATACATTTTCTTAGGAACTCACAGAGCTATAGGCGCGTATTTTCTTTCTTAAGGACCCATCGAACTATATGCGTGGATTTTTTAATACATTTTCCTAATGACTCATCGAACTATTGGAGTGGATATTTGGAGCTGGAATTCTGGGCCTATCAAAATTCCACCTAACTAATGATGACGATTTTCTAAATAAATTGTCTTAAGGACCCATCGAACTATAGGAGTAAATTTTAAAAATAAATGTTGTTATGAACCCATAAAACTAGAGTTCTGGGCCTATTGACCTGGACTTGCACGAATACCCGCTTCATCTCCTCCTCGCATGGACAACTTTTCCTGGCCTAGAAACAAAAGCGATTTTGGCTTGTGAGATTCACTTAGCTGGCATTCGAACTATATGCGTGGATTTTTTAATACATTTTCCTAATGACTCATCGAACTATTGGAGTGGATATTTGGAGCTGGAATTCTGGGCCTATCAAAATTCCACCTAACTAATGATGACGATTTTCTAAATAAATTGTCTTAAGGACCCATCGAACTATAGGAGTAAATTTTAAAAATAAATGTTGTTATGAACCCATAGAACTAGAGTTCTGGGCCTATTGACCTGGACTTGCACGAATACCCGCTTCATCTCCTCCTCGCATGGACAACTTTTCCTGGCCTAGAAACAAAAGCGATTTTGGCTTGTGAGATTCACATAGCTGGCATTCAGGTCCAAGCCCAATAATTTGGCTTATGACAATTTAGCCAATTTGGTAAGGTTCTCTACTCCCACTCCTACATTTCTTTCAATTCGCCTGGACAAATCGCTTTGGAAGATTCCGCGCTTCTGATGACACTTGCAACTTCTTCTATCTCGTTCTGAAAATAACGTATAAGATGCAATACTCTTCTCTACGTAATGCAGTTCTGTGGGTAGAGGTTCCTCTACGGATCTGACACCTTAGCGCCCAATTAAAAGCACAAATCCGATACTATTTGTTCATGGGTTCGAGAGTAACTTATTCGTTGTCCACAATTTAGTCGATCCAGTACCAATGGTACAACATTTCAAATTTGTTTTTATTTTAATGGGTTCCATAATTATTGCCACTAATTACTCGATCTAGTACCGATATAACAACACTGCATACTTTGCCAAAAATAAAATCCAAAATGCTTATTTGTATATACATATATATCCATAAAATGAGTCGGGACCTCTATATGGAGGACAAGTTAAAATATTAACCTATATTGAACAAACCCTGGAATGCCAAATTTTTATCCCTGTACATGGTCAATTTTTTGTTAATTCTTTGAAATAACAAAAATTGCACGGATCCCTTATTTGAGAAGCAACTAAAACATTGAAGCTTTTTTGCGAAGTTATTCTATAGCCTCCAACAACCCGTAAAGCAAAATCAATAGCCCTTTTTTTGAAAATGCGGTTAAAACCTTAAATACACCTAAAACTGTGAGGCGACTACCCATGATCCTAAACTGCAGCTCTTTGTTTGGAAAATGCGCCTTGGAACACCAAATTCCCTCCAAGGGGCGGGACCCCTATATGGGCTATGTCAAAATATGTTGTTTACTCTTTATGTGAATATGTTGTTTATTCTTTAAGAACGCGGAATGGCAAAAATATCGGTACCTTGGGTTCCAAATAGGCAGCAAATTATGGAAACCTATATCGATAGGGACCGATATATTTTTGAATACCAAACATTTTAGGTATTAACAGTTTCCGTGTAACATTTCATTTTTAAAATTGCGATTTCAACATTGGAGATTTATACTGAAAAACTATAATATTGGTCTAAATATTTGAAATGGCCTCTGTTCTAATCGTTATACAAAATATTAGATACTATATAATAGAAAAGTTTGAATGACTTCTTCAGAAATGGAATCTTTCTTTTTTAAGTAGTATGTTTTGCCTTCAGTGCGATGCCTCGGCATATATTAGTTAATCGAAGTGTCAGTCAATGTTGCCGACAGATATATGCCATCTAGGACCTTCAACATACCGATAATAAGGCTGAAATATTAGCTTTGCACATTGTAATATTTTTACTAAATCTGGGATATCCGAAGATGCGGTCTACAGATTTTCATGAATGGAGTATAGTTGAAATCGGATATTACACATATATCAAAGGGAAATTTTCCAAATTAGTTTAAAAATAATGGATTATATTTCTAATTCTCCAATATGTGTAATGGTATATTGCGCGTATATTCGTATTGAATAAAAATTTCATCAAGTTCAATTGTAGATCTTTTGAATCCACTCTATTATCTACCTCACAATTTTCCAAAATTTCCGATTCAATTAATATAGTCCAATGTTTTTGGACAACGAAGAGAAAAATTCACTTTGTTTCGAATAAAATTGGGCCCAGTTTAAACATAGATCGTTTTCAGGGAAATTAAAACAAAAAAGAAAATGATAGATCTTTGAGCCCACTCTATTACCTTCCTCACAAAGATCAAAAATATCCGATTCGATGGCAACTTTGCATTTATTAACTCAGCGGCCTGAATCAATACAGTATTTTTCGGATTATTGAACCTACGGTTAATTGGTTTCCACGCTTAATTGAGCCACATGATGGGGCAAAAAATATTTCATAGAAAATACGTGCAAATTTTCTCGGATAATTAAACCGTGTTAATTGGTTTTCCCGCTTAATTGGTTCAAAATTCATGTCATCAAAAATAAATTTCCTTTTACTTTTCACCGGTTAATTGCATAATAATAGGTTCGTTCGTTTACTTTCCCAGTAATATTTACTCAGTAAGAATTTGCAGAGAGTAAATACGAATTTTTCCTTTTCAAGAGAGAAAACTTCAAAAAGTAAACGAACAACATCCAGTAAAAAGATTGTTTCGACACAGCTGATTAAAACAACAAACAAATTGGCTCAAACTAAAAAACAGCATTTTTATTAGAAAAATGGATAACAAGCGGAAAATTGATGTTGTTTGTTCCCCACAACCATTTAAAAGTTTGTGACCTGTTATTCCTGTATCTGCAATTGATATTGGGGTGGACATAACCGATGGTGTTCCAGACATGTTAGGGATGCACACTTTTTTGTTTGGATTTGGAACCTAAAAAATCGTTCGCCAATTACTCTTGTATTACCTTATTTTTAAATACTTGCGTTTTCTTCATCCATTTTGGTATTTAATGATACAAAATCAAAATAAAATTCACAAAACAATCAATTTTCTTGAGAACAATTTTTTGTTTGTTTACAAAACATAGCAAAACAGCTGATTAAATAGGTGTGTCTGGTTACCCTAAAGTTTGTAACAATTGTTACAAATTGTTACTGGAAGTCGTCTGTTAACCCAAAAGTTCTGCAAAAGAGAGCGGTTGGAGAGAGAAATTTTGACAGTTCTTTCAGTGAGAGTTTGCAAATTCTTGCTGGAAAAATTTCTTCTTGCAATCTCTTGCAACTCTTCTTCTTCTCATACATCGACATTCAATCAGATGTTTTCTATTGTTTGTTTATTTATTTTTGTGCTTTCAATTTGAAAATAATTTTTTTTGGAATTAGCAAGACTAATTGTTTTTGGAGAAAAACTTTACAAAACGAGAAAAACGTAAGTATTAATATGTAATAGGAAAATAAAAGACTATTTCCAGCATTTTAGAAAAATTTTTAGAAAAATTATTGCTCATTTTTTATTTTATTTCCTTTTTATTTCAAAAACTTGTTAAACTGGTTGTGTTTTCTTTCTTTTAATTCTTTATAATGGCGGACAAATTGGTTTGTTTTGACAAATCAGCTGATTAGTTGCAAGCTTCTGCAGGGATGCCGTCTGTTTACTTTTCGCATTTTTCTTGCAAAAGAGAATAAAACTACCTTACTCTCTCAGAAAGAAGTTACTGGACAATTCCTGCAGGGAAAGTAACCAGACACACCTAATATCAGCTGATGGTACAAGAAAATTCTTACTGAGTAAATTTTCCTTGTAAGAATTTGCAAATACTCAGTAACACAACTGTCAAATCTGCTCTCTCAATTCACTCTCTTTTACTGGACTTTTGGGTAAACGAACAACATTTTGTAATAATTTGTACAAATTCGTACAAATTATTGAGTAAACGAACGAACCTAATAATTGACAAATAATCTGTCATTTTTTACATACATATTTGACATAATTTAATTCAAAAACAAACTATTCAATTAAGCGGGTTCGGATAATTAGTTCCTCGGTTAATTGAACAAAAATTTATGCAAATTTTGATGTGCAATTAACGGAAAAATACTGTAGATATTTTTACCTAACCTAAGTCAATTCCACCCTATTGGTAAATTCCTTTTATTACATCCTCACTATTCTTCCACATTTTAACAAAAACATGACCTTCTCCACAAACTGAGAAAAATTGACTTCGACGTGTGAAAACGTAAACAGAAAATTTGACATTTTGAGGGATTTTCTTCCAAAATGGCCGATACTATTCGCCTCTTACTCGACCTGTTAATTGGACCATGTCCCTAACTGAATTTCATATTTTAAAAAAGAAGTCAAGAAAGTGAATTATTGAACTACAGAAACCGAATGAAGAACTACTTTCGTTCGTTCATATCAAAGAATCATTACATTGAACTGTCTACATTGTTGTTGTTGTTTGTCCGTATTTTTAGTTAAATATTTTGCGGATGATTTGTTTTCGTCTAAATTTTTAAGAAGAATTTATTAAAAATTTAAAAAATATATACTAAACACGTAGCCATGGAGCTACATTGGACTCAGGTTGTAAAATATGCATTATTCGCATACGTTCTGCTGGGACTGATCTCAACAAGTGAAGGTGGGTGGATAAGTGGATTTATAATCAGAAGATTGGTATTGAAACTGGGATTCCAGCCGCAATAAATAAGAATATTGTGCTAAAACTAATTAATAATAAGGTTAATAATATACTGGACTGGGACCACCATTTCCCAAGTAGTGGGAGAGAGTGACTCATAACAATATGTCTTTAAGCCTTTGTTTTGTTTATTTACCCAGTGCAACATTAGTTGTTGACCTTTTTCGCCAATCGATTTCGTTCGTTATCATTATTGTTTTTGTTGTTCTCTATTTAATTCTTGGCACTTCTTCTTCTGTAGTTTCCGGCAAACGTTTGCATGAAAAGATTTACGAGTCATTCTTTGGAGGCTCATGTTTCCGTCGTCTCAACGGTACCCACCAAACTGGATGTTCCTGTAAGTACCACATAATTATATTATTATAAAATGACAAACATTCTCTAACCACCATCTTTCCTTACAGCTGCCGAAGCTGGCTCTGTTGGAGCATTGCACTATGTCGACGATAATAATCAATTAGAATTCCTTTTGAACTCACCACCCGCTCCACCGTATGCTGCCATTTTAAAATCCGATTTCTTTACACGCCAAAATATGTTGCGTCTGAAAAATGAAGGTGGACGCAACATTACCGCTGTCATTGTTTTAAATGCCTTCAATAACTATACAGAGGAAACCATAAGTTTCTCTCACGAATTGACATGCCCAAATCAATTTAGTGGTATATTGAAGCCGAACAGCCAGGAGACCGCCACTTGCTCCGCCTTACGTCCCGAAGAAACATGGAATCCTTGGGGCACTGGACTACTACATGAAGATTTCCCCTTTCCCATTATAATTATACCAGATAATGAGACCGTAGTTCGGCTTATTGACTGCTACAAGAAATTCAATAGTTTCGATTTTGAACAACAGCACTTGCGTAGCCTTTGTGCGGTGGAAATTAAAAGTTTTATGAGTGCTGCTGTTAGTACAGAAGTTTGTTGGCGTCGTTCGAATTTTATTAATAATTTGGCTCAAACTAGATATTGTGATCCTTTGGAGGGTAAAAATATCTACGCGACCTTATTTCCGCGAAAAATTGTCGATGTCCAGGAAGAAGATGTAAAGCGTGCGGCTCAGATAGATCGTAATGAAAAATTCATAATGGTGACAACACGAATGGATACAACTGGCATGTTTGAAGGTGTCTATGGTAAGTGAAGAATTTTGATATACCTTTTTTTAATTGTAGACATACATATGTATATAAAATAAGTTTTATGTTTCTTTAACGTCAATTGGCGCTATACCAGATATCGCTCTGCATAACCATAACGCCCCTGTGTTTATGTTCCATTATACCCTAAAGCAATAAGTATGGATTTTATTTATTTCCAAACAATGAACATCGATTTTAAATTTTAAACTGCAGTCACCTCAAAATATTTGTCGGAGACTTAATTCTATAATTAGAGTAAAATTCTATGCCGATTAAGGTCATATTGTAGACTTGATGTAATGCATAGATTGGACTATGTAACGTCGCGCAAATATTCTAACGATTGATGTGCCATGTTCTCCCGAGTAAAATTAGAGAAAATGTTTTCGTCTGTTTAGACGACTTATTGATTACTCTGGGACACAAAATCTAGGTAAGATCTGGGAGGTGGAAACTATTTTTTGGCGAGTATATTAAGAACCTCGACGGATAAATTCGCCACATGCCAAGTTCTTAAGTTATGGTGTGATTAATTTTTTGCTTGTTCATGGTGGAGTAGATATTTAATTTTTCATTTCATTTGCAACATCGAAGATCAGAATAAAATTCTTTATAGACTATGACGTTTGAAATGACAGACAATTTTTAGATAGAACTCTGAAAATTTGCACAGGCATTGCTAGTAAAGCCAGGATGTTTGGTATAGCAAATTGAGTATATCGGACCACGATTTTGTATAGCTCGATTCCCCCTTAATTCTGTATTTTTTTTATTTTGGACACGGTTTTCAAATGAATTGTAATTACAATTTGTAATTATAATTCTGTATTTTGCGTTCTAATTGTGTACGAAATCTGCCTACCAACTATTCCTACAAAGAACTATTAACAGCGGTTCCCATTTGGGAATGAACCCTATGCCTATCTTTACACGTTTCTCTGTGAGTGTATAGCTATCGTATGAACTAGGATAAAGCCAATCGGTGAAGAACTTCCTTATTTTTTAACTTGGTTTTTGGTAAAAAATCGGCGATTTTCCTAAAATATTTTTTTAAAGGCCCGCCATTTTGTTAATATTAGAGCGAAGTCAATAATCCTAGTTCATACGAGAGCCCGACATGTACTCTTTCTGACACCGTTGGAATTTTCGGATTCCGATGTTCCAGTGAGCAGTTATCATGCCCGCCATCAAAAATAAGGACTTTTCTTTAATTACAAAAAACAACAACAAAACAATAACAAAAATGTTTTGTAAATTATTTTTCTTCTCTTTTACATCTTCAAATATATATATATATATATATATATGCAAATTAACATAACTTAACAAGCATTGGTATTGATTTACCAGCCCTTTGAAAATCTTGAAAAATTAATGGGTGGGGTTCCCTTAAACATGAAAACTTGACTATAGTTACGAACAAGTCACACTTTTGTTTTATGAAGTGAAAATAACACCGAGAAGATTGAGGCTAATAAAAAATAAATATTAAAAAACCATATCGGTCCCATTAATTGACACGGTAAAGAAAACAAAAAAATAACATATCTAAAGAAGCTATAGAGGAATTCAAAAGTTTAAAAAGGATATGAACTTCAGCTGCAGTATTGTGTCATGCAAATTGCAGTAGGATGTTTTATCTTCAGTGTAATATTTCTGAATATATTAGTTAAACGATCAAATTCTCAGAACAAATAAAAAACTGTCAGACGGTGTTGTCGACAGATGTATAACTCTCAGTCAATGGTTTGCGCAGGTCTACGGAATAAAACACAGGCTAATAAACTTTATATAAGGTATACGTTTTTTTCAAATAGTTAACCATCTTATTGTAGGTTTGGAAAAATATTACGATTTGCAAAGTTTGTACATTCCATTATCTTCATATTGGAATAACAAATTTTGAAAATGTTGACGTTTTGTGGGCAAGGTACCAGAAGGAGTTGACTAACGGGTCCCATATTCAAGCTTAATCTATGTAAAGTAAATATATTACCATTAGCAAGTGCCCGCAACTTCGTATGCGGAAAGGGAATACAAAACAAATAAATAATAATTTATGTTGAAATCATATAATACTGTATAATTTGTTGTATTATAATTCCGAACTGCACCTCTATTCTTACGTCTAATATAAAGTTTATTACCATTTAGTACTATTCATACACATAAGCAGTAATTTCCGAAATATCTTTCTTTTTCCCATTATAGAGATTCAAAAGTGATTAGAATTCCAATAATATATAATATTTTAGCAAATACGTACAGGTTCTAAATTTAATTAATTAAATTAATTAATTTTTTTAAATTAATTTTAGTTCCATTCCGCACTTTTGGAACACATAAATACACATTTTCAATACTACCATGTCCAACATGTCTTAATTCTACGCTCGAACAACAATCAATATTCCAAATAAAAGGTTTCCAACTCCATCCCTTCACTCAAAATCCAAACTGTTCTAACTTTAGTATCGCTTTGTACTCATAGGTACGAATTTCCCTAACTTCCTCAATCCTACAATCCAACAGAACTTTGTATTCCAATATTTAGGAATCTAGATCTATTCAGTCGCACAAAATCAAATTGTATCAAATTTAGTATCGTTTACTTCACATAAGTTAAAAAAATGTTAAAAACTATCCTCATATCTCAGTTCTATATTCCGACCGTAATCAATATTCCAAATTTTAGGTTTCCAGTTCTCTCCATTATCCAAATTGTTACAAATTGTGTACCAGTTAATACTTTTCCTACTCATATGTAAGAATTTCTAACACGACAAAGTCCAAATTATACGAAATTTAGTACTTTTCATACAAAAAAGTACGAATTTCCGAAACTACCTCAATTCTGTTTTCCAATAGCAATCGTAAGTCCAAATTTAAGAATTAAAGCTTCATCTGTTCACCAAAATCCAAATTTTACCAGATTTGATACCGTTTTGTACTTTTCATTTCAATATTCCAAAACTATTTCAATCCCACACTCCAATATTAATCCTAGTTGCAACTTTCAGGATTCCAGTTCTATCCGTTCAAATTGTACCAAATTTAGCACTTCTTTTACCCATAAGTACGAATTTCCAAAACTACCTCAGACATGTACTCCAATAATAATCATAAGTCCACATTTAAGAATTCCAGCTCTCTTCGTTCACCAACATCCAAATTGTACCAAATTTAGTATCATTTATTACTCTTCCTAGACGTAAATACGATTTTCCAAAAATTCTCCAATTCTACACTTAAAAAGTAATTTTAATCATAAATTTCAAGATCCCTATCAGACCTATCCGTTCACATAGATCAAAAATGTACCATATTTAGTACCATTTACCACTTTTCGTACTTATAAGTTTGAATTTTCAACACTACCTCAATACTGTACTCTAACAGTATTTTTAAATTCCAAAAGTATGGAGCCCATTTATCATCGGATTTGAATGAAATTTGGTACAGCTCATTTATTTGGCCCAAGGACGAACCCTATTGAAATTGGGAGAAATCGATTTAGATATAGCTCCCAGATTTAGATATAGCTCTCATATATAATTTCGTCCGATTTTATGTAAATAGTGTACGAAAGCCCCTAAATTTCTTGCGATTTGCACGAAATCTGGCATAGCGTACTTAATTGAGTCTAGAATGATGTGTGCTAAGTTTCATGAAAATTGGTTTATTTTTTGGTAATTGCCGCACCGAAGGGTCAATGTTAGGCTGATTGACAAGAAATTTTGCATAACGTACTTAAAGTCGGTTCACATATGAATACAGATTTCATATTTAATTTCATTCAATTTCATCTCAAAAGTCCTTCACAAATATGACATTTGTTACGATGCATCTTCTAAATATACCCAAAGTGGTAGAGGGTATATAAAGTCGGCCCCGTCCGAATTTACTATTTTCCTTCGAAGTTTAAAAATTAAAATAAGCTAACGTTATTATTTCAATATCTTAAAGTCTATGAATACTTCTTCAAAAACATCAATATTTTATTTATTTTTTATAATCCAAAAATAAAACCGGTAAGTACATTTAAGTTAACATAGAAAAATATTTGAAATCCTATTAAACATAAGTTGCTACATGTATATTAGTAATACACCACCTGACATACGCAACCAACACACACTTGCAACAACATACGACATCAATAAGGAAAAAAACAAGGAATGGAAACAAAAACACGTGCTAACAGAAATTTCCAAACAATTTTGGGTATATGGATGGAGAATTCTAACAATACGAAGTTAATGCGATCAAACAATAATGTTTACAAATGGTTGTTTCTTATTCAGCGTTTACTACCTGTTTGTTTGTTGAAGTGCAGCAGCACAGCAACCCCTTTTTTACAAACGCCGGCATAAGGTGCAAATACCGGAAATAACAATAGTTCCGTATAATGCACCATACCAATGTTGGTATCTTTTTTCGGTGTTTTTTTCTTTTTTTTTTTTTGCGTTTAACAACAAACGATTAATGTTTTACGAGGGTGGTTTTATATCGTTTTTGTTTTTAAGTTGGTTCGTTATTGACATTAAAAATAATTTTATTTTTATATATTAAGAATAAACTGTAAATTATGTATTGGTTTATGTATGGTCTTAAACGCATTTTGATGGTCTTAAACGGCTCTTGGTGGGTAAAAAAATTCTACGAAAAAAATATTTTCTATAATGGACACTTTTTTGAAATAGCTCCCATTTCCGTATGTTGATTGTTCACTCTGTAGACAATTTGCCACAGGTCAATAGCTTTTTCAATGCTTTAAAATCATTGGTCGGCATTCTCATCGAGAAAACAACATATAATAAGTAGTAGGATAGAATGTCACCTTCACTGAATTCTCGGTCTGTACGGAAATGCTCTGAGGTCTCATTTCCAACTTTCACGATCGATTTTATGTCAGTTAATGTTATCCTATATAGGCGTAGGGAGTGAAAATTCAGCCTCCATGATGAAACATCCGACAACGGCATAAGATTGATTGATTTCGCGACAGCAAAAAACATGGTAGTTAGCAGCACCACTTTCAAGTATTTATATATATATATTTATAATAAACTGCAGCAAAAGCAAAAACATGATCAATTTAATTTTTCCTTATCCATTTGGACCATTACCTACCAAAACCCACCATCGAATAGCTGCAAACACACCAGAAAGCAGAAGCCGACTCCGCTTAACTTACCCAGCTGCTTGACGAAAGCACTTCTTGTCCCGATTATAATAAACTGCAGCAAAAGCAATCCTTGGGTACCAAAAGCCACCATCAAGAAACGCATGGTACGATCAGGAGTTTCGTAATGCTACTGATCTGAAAAACGCAGCATATAGGGCAACCCTGCAGACAGTAGCAACACGAAATGCGAGGGAGAATTATCGGGAGAAACGTATATTCCGATACAAGAAGAAAGAACAAGAAAAACATGAGTGGGAGCAAATCGAGATTTACAGGAGTCAGAACGAAGTCCGGAAATTTTACCAACGAGTAAAACACCAAACCGAAGGCTTTCGCGCAGGCACATCCTCCTGTAGAGATGAAGATGGGAAACTTGGTGACAGATACAGATAGCGTGTTGAGGATCTTTGAAGGAGCATTTTCATTTTCTGGTATCAAATAGTGACGGTGAAGAAGATACCCAGAACCAATAAGATATGACGGTGTAGATTGCACACAACCTAGCCAAGGTGAGGTTAGAATAAATAATAAAGTATGCGGCTTAAGAATAATAAAGCAGCAGGAGCCGATGGATTACCAGCCGAACTATTCAAGACTGGTGGTCAGATGCTGATCAGGAGCATGTACCATCTGATAAGTACAATTTGGCTAGGGGAATGCATGCCAAACGATAGGAACCTCAGCATCCTTTGTCCGTGCACAAAAAAGGAGACAAAACGATATGTTCCAACTATAGAGGAATAACTCTCTTTCCCATCGCATATAAAGTGCTATCCAGCGTGCTGTATTGGACCATATCAATGACATTATTGGACCATACCAATGCGGCTCAGACCTTGCAAATCCACCATAAACCAGATTTTCACACTGCAAAAAATCCTGGAAAAGATCCACGAAAAACATGTCGACACATTCCACCTATTCGTCGACTACACAACCGCATTCGACAGCCCTATCCGTTCAGATGTGTTTAACACCATGTCTGTCTAAGGTTTTCCTGCAAATTTAATACGGCTATGCAGGGAATCTTTACGTGGCACAAGGTCACAAGTCGGAAATTACCTTTCAGAGCCCTTCAAAACCGAACGTGGATTCAGACAAGGTGTCGTGTTGCCTTTTTAACGTCCTGCTGGAAAAGGTGGCAGGACAAATTGTATACGAGATGCAAATGTGAACAAAAAATTGCACTCTGTACACCGAACAAAATATGTTACTCGCCTATGCCGATGACATCGACATAATGGGTCGAACATTGAGAGCGGTAACAGCCACCTTTGAACAAATTGAGGAGGAGTCTACCAAAGTGGGACTGGTAGTAAATGGCGAAAAGACCAAACTGATGGTATCAACGCGCAAGACGTCCAGTAGACTCGGACCAACTGTGGAACTTGATAACTACAGCTTCGAGGTACTCAACGATTTTATATACTTTGGTACCACCATAAATAAAACTAATAACATCAGCTTTCCGGAGAAAAATAGTTTTGGCCAACAGATGCTACTATGGTGTGAGTAAGCAATTCAAGAATAAGCCCACCTCTCGCCCGACCAAACTCACACTCTACAAGACGTTGATACTACCCGTGCTTTTGTATGGATCCGAAGCATGGGCACTTTCTCAAGCAGATGAGGCTGCTCTTGGAGTGTTTGAGAGAAAAATTCTCCGATAGATCTATGAGCCGATCTGAGTCGAATGTACCACGAGTATTATCATCCATATACGGACGTAGGTCGGACGTATCGAGCTGCAGCGACTACGTTGGCTAGGTCATGTTATGCGAATTATGAGGATGCTCCAGCTCAAAAGGCATATAAACACGAGCCAATTGATGGTTCACGCAGAAGGGGAAGGACACGAATACGATGGAAAGATCCACTGGAGGATGACATATCTTTCAAACTGAAAATTGATCTTTCAAATTGGAAAAACTGAGCACAAGATCGACGCGCCTGGAAATCTTCTTTACGTTCGGTTTATGGAACAAATGTCGAGCAAGCTAAGTAAGTGAGAAAGTATGGGTGAAGTCGGGGCTCATATTAGCTTCACTACTTCAACGGGTATAAGAAGTAGGCGCCCAAGGTGTGAAACCGCTGGAAGGCCAGTGTCAATAATATAGATATAGATAGTGGGACCCGGTTATTCCTATTTTCAAGTCATAGAAATAACCGGGTCCCACTATCTTAGAATCAAATATTAAATCAGGGCTCCGACTACCCTTCTGCGTATTCAATGAAATATTCAAATGAGTTGTGAAATTGGTTATCGAAAAAAAAACACATAACAATAAATAACAACATCAACAACAACAAAAATAATATCCACCACCACCGCCAATAACATTAGCGCACTATCGTCATTGTAGCTGCTTAATTGTCGCCTACTACAGCCAATAGAAAAAATAATAACAACAATAAAAAAACAACTTGTCAAAAAAATCGCCAACTGCAACACGCAATAGATGAACTGGCTTGAAAATAATAACAACAACAAACATCAATGACAGGAGAGAAAAAAGGATATTCATGGTGGCAAGGTGCTAGAAGTGAGGGATTGATGGGGGGATAGGAAATAAACAACTGATAAAAAACCCAATAGAGCTGCTACAACTACCACTGGTAAAAAATATACCACCAATAAATGAAAATGAAAATTAGTTTTTTATTTATTTTTTGTTATAAGAAATTATTATCATGCAGCCACAACATTGATAGAGACAATTGTGGTAAGGGAGAGCAAGAAGAGGGGGAATTACAACTAAATAATCACTCAAACCCAATTTTTTCAGAATGAAGAGGGGAGGTTTCTTTTGAGCCGTTCTGAAAAAAATAAAACTAAATTCTGTTTTGCTGAACACTTGTCGTTCGGTTTTTCGCCAGCTGTCGGTCGGTTTGCCGGTTTTGATCCTTGCTTGAAAAACAGAAAAAACCCACCGAAGCGGACAAGTGCATTTTCCCTTCATGGCTGTTTGATGTTGGCCAAACGACTGCGCAAATGAGCCAAGTTAAATGTACCGTGGCCAACAGAACAGAAAAAACAACCCTTGAATGCAAAATAAGAACGACTTCAATCGATTCACTTGCCCCGTTTGCTGCTGCCTGTGTGTGTACCTGCTGTTCTTCCTTCGACACTAATACACTCATGAGTCGATGTGATATTTATTCAGTAGCTATACTATATATATGGAATTTATATAGCAACCAGTCATCATCAACTATTTGAGTTTGGTTGGTTACCTTGGTAGCACCCACTTTCTAGGGGACGTTAACAACACGGGCAGCAGCAGCAGAGGCCGAAGAATTAGAGGGGTTGCTGCTGGAATGGTGGAAAAACTCCAAACTCACATACATATATCCCAATGAAAAACATATCCTTAAAACGGATTTCTAAACGTATACCGAACACCAAAGGAATAACGTCATACTTTTCACTTGCTTCACCTGTGTCACTGCAGGATAATTTTTTTCGGAAAAAAATTGAAGAAAAAATAATTTTTTTGGATAAAAAAAATATTTTTTTAATTGCTCTGGTAGCCAGTCATCGATCCACACATTACACAATAGCTTCTCATTTGGATTACATGTAAACGAAAGCTTGCGAATTTTTTGTCATTTGCGGATTTTTTTCTTTTCTTCGGACAACCTTGCTCTTGGCTAATTACTGGCGGATTAATCGGCCCGAAAATGACGACCCGATTGGCTGCGGCCCCTAGAAATTTTCTAATAACAGCAACAACAACGGCGTCTGGTGGTTCTACAGCTGCAGCCGCAACGGGACTCATAGATACCGCATCGTCTGCGTCTCCTACACTGACAGTGGTTGCAGGCGAAACAACAGCCGTGGATACTATAACAACCGAAACAAATAATGTTTTGCCCCTCATTAATGCCACAACAAATGATATTACGACGACAACGGTGCCGCTAGAAACCCTGGTAACTAGGGACTCCAATGCGACGACAACATCGTTGTGCTTTAACGGTGAGGAGTATCAGTTTATTACCACCGAACAATTGCAGGATATAATGACGCAAAAGACATTGGTGGCGGCGAACGGCGATTTGCAACAGCATCATTCGCATCATCAGGAGCTGCCGAATGGCCAACAGTCCCCCTCACCCTTATCACAGACCACCACCGCAACGGATGTGGCCTCCGCCAGTGGAGCATCTGGACATCACGACGAAGTGGCTGTCATAAATGTGGTGCTACCCATGGATACAGCAGCGGATGGTTCCAGCAATGATGAGGCCCATCAGGTTACAATGGATACCCTCACAGCCATCAAGGAAGGTGTAGTCGACTTAGCCTCGCATCATCATCAGCAGCAGCAACACCATCACCACCATCATCATCAGCACCAGGGTACAGATAACGAAGAGGCCACAGCATGTCCCCAATTTATAACTGTCACGGTGTCGGCCCAGGATGCCGGACAAAATTATCAAGTGCAATATGTCGATGCGGAACAATTGTATCATGCCAATTCCACCCAAACCCAAATTTCATACCCCTTTTGTCAACTACAGGATTATCAGACACATCAACAGACCTTCTATACCACCACATCGGCCACCGGAGATTTCAACGGGATAACCGATCTTTCCATAAATGGTACGGATCACACCACCACCTCAATTCTACCCTATTTAGTACCCGTTGAAGAAAATCTCCTACTAAATACCTCATCCGAGGAGGTACACAGTTCATCGCCACAAACACCCAATTCCACCTCAACCTCGGCCATGGGTTCGCAGTGTTTGAATTTAATTGCCGACCATGATGAAAATTCCATGGAAAATGAACACAACCATCTAATGGGTGGTAGTTCCAATAAAATTGCCTCGGCCACAGTGAAATGGCTCTCTCAGAATTATGAAACTGCCGAGGGAGTTTCATTACCCCGTTCCACTCTTTACAGCCATTATATAGAACATTGTCAGGAGTGCAATATCGAACCGGTAAATGCGGCAAGTTTTGGTAAATTAATACGCTCGGTGTTTGCAGGGTTGCGTACTCGGCGTTTGGGGACCCGAGGCAATTCCAAATATCACTACTATGGGATACGTATTAAATCCGATTCTTTGCTGAAAAATCATGACGAAGAAAAATCCCCCGGATCTCACAAAGTTTTACAACAATCCCAAAAACATTCAAACATTACAACAACAACAATGCAACAACATCATCAGGTGCAACAGCAGCAGCAGAATATTTCACCCAATGGGAAATTACACAGTGGCAATACCAGTGACTCCTCACCCACATCTTCCTCATCCATGGGTTCATCCTCATCGTGTCATCAACCCAATCGAAAGTTGTCCAAGAAAATCATATTCAAACCCGAAACCTTTGCCACCTGCTCCCAATTGCTGGGCGATGGCAGCAATGCTGTGCCATGTTTCCCACTCATCGATTTGGATCACACATTCCCTCCGGAAATTTCAATACAAGATGTGGATCTATTTCGTCTACGTTACCAGGAACATTGTGAGAAATTTTTAGAGGCCATTTTGAATCTTGAATTCAATACCATTGAATATTTATGGCGTGACTTTTGGCAACAGGCCTCCGAACATCATCATTTGGTCGATAAATATCTGAGCAAGCGTAAATGGGATCTGCTATGCCTCTCGACGACCATACAAAAGTTCGTCCAAGATATTGACTATCAATTTTTCCAAAATATGGTTGATGTCATAATACCGGATGTCCTACGCTCCATGCCCAATGCCCTGACACAGGCCATACGTAATTTTGCCTCCAACATGGAAATATGGTTAAGTGATTGTATGTCCGGAGTGCCGGAGCAAATGATACAAATCAAAACCTCCACGGTATCGGCTTTTTGTCAAACCTTACGGCGTTACACCTCTCTCAATCATTTGGCTCAAGCCGCGAAAGCCGTTCTCCAAAACAGCACCCAAATCTCACAAATGTTAAAAGATCTCTCTCGTGTAGATTTCCACAATGTCCAGGAGCAGGCAGCATGGGTGTGTCAATGTGACCCGCTGATTGTGCAGCAATTTGAAAATGATTTCAAAAATACGCTACAACAAAAAAGTTCTCTCGAACAATGGGCTTCCTGGTTGCAAATGGTTGTTGACACTGCCCTGCAGGAATATCAAGGGAAGCCTTCGTATCCCAAAGCTGCTAGGCAATTTTTACTGAAATGGTGCCTTTACAGTTCAATGGTTATACGAGATCTTACTTTACGCTCCGCACCAAGTTTTGGCAGCTTCCATTTGATACGATTACTTTACGATGAGTATATGTTCTATTTGGTCGAACATAAAATCGCTCAGGCTCAACAGAAAACCACAATTGCTGTCATTTGTGATCGTAATGAGAGAAATTTGAATCTGGAAGTGGAGGATTATCAATTGGAATTTATTAATTCAACAGATTCAATGAATTCCGAACCGGAAGCCAAGCGTGTGAAACTTAATTAAGATGTGAAGCTCTTAACAGTTAAATCAAGGGCAGAGAAAGAGAATGGCAATATGAGTATAAATATCACCAAACAAACAGAGGAGCTCCTCTTAACAATTAAATCGATTACAGACAAAGAAAAAGATATCACTGAGAAAGATAAATAAACAGCATGCATGCTCTTAACAAGCTTGATAGCAAGAGATTCACATCACTGAGAAAGAAACATAAACAGTTAAATGGATTACGGAGTTGAGAGCAAGAGATTCACATCACTGAGAAAGAAACATAAACAGTTAAATGGATTACGGAGATAGAGAGAGAACATGGAAATACATTAAAAGAAAACACTATACACTAAAGAGTTGGAACTGATTGTGGAGAAAGAGAGCCATAATTATCAACACAATAATTGGAGCATTTTTAAAGCTCTTAACACAGTTAAATCAAATTAAAAACCGTAATGTTGCCTATTGAGAAAAAAATGGGAGACTAAAATATCAGATAAAAGAATTAGAAAGAGAGAGAGAGAAACATACTTTAAAATAAATCGTTCAACAAAATATGGAAGCGGAGAGATGTAATCATGATTTCTTTGTTTGTGGAGCAAAAGTTTCAAAGAGAATACCAAAAATTTATAAATTTTAAACAAGATAAAACAAAATTTTGTGAAATATTAAATAAAAAAATAAGATGCAACAATATGTTTAAGTGAAAATAAGAGAAAAAAATATTCTCTATAACAAGAGAAAATCATTACAGTGCCTAAAATTAAAAAAATAAATATAACAAGTTAATTAAAAATCAGTGAATATTAAAAATATAAATATTTGCATATGAGGCATTCCATGTGAAATTTAATATATGAAATATATTTTTAACGATATACATTTGAAAATATCATAATTTTAAATTACATGAAAAAGAAAAAAAATATCAAAGTAATTCATAGATGATAACAGAATGCCAACATTTTTCAAATTTTGGAATATTTTAATAACTAACAGTTTCAATTTACTCGAATAGTTCAAATTCATCACCTAAGAATTTTCAATACAAAAAATTTTCAGATGAAAATTTATTCTCAAAACTTAACGAAAAATACATCAAATTAATTGAAAATCCATGAATATTAACAAAACATAAATATTTGCATACGAGAGATTTCATGTGAAATTTTATATAGAAATAATAATTTCATTTTAACAATATATTTTTTAAAAAAATATTGGTTTGAAATTACATAAAAAAGTTATAAAAAAATAATTCAGAGATGATAACAGAATGCCAACAATTTTTAAATTTTGGAATGTTTAAATTACAAACAGTTTTCATTTACTCGAGTGGCTCAAATTCATAACCTTTCAGATGAAAAATCATTCTCCAGAAATTTCTAAACAAAAAGTTAGGCTTATAAAATTTTGGATAAAAATAAACGAAAAATATATCAAATTTATTGAAAATCAGAGAATATTAAAAATATAAATATTTGCATATGATACATTCCATGTGAAATTTAATATAAAATTTGAAATGCCAACTATTTTCAATTTGTTTTTATTATTATTAAATTTTATTTTTTAAAGTACTGGTATATAATTTAAATAGATTTTTCTAGAAGAGTTTTTAAAGTTTAAATTCTTATATGCAAAACAAAGTTAAAAGCGAAAACATGGCTAATATAAATTTGTTTTAAAACTTCTATTAAGGGGAAAATTCTAGGTGTCAAAATTTTTTTTTCAGTTTTTCGTATCTACACTAATTCAACAAATCTTGAAGATATATGCGATTAATTGTGTCTCGGTGTCAAAAAATTTAAATTTTTAATTTCAATTTCTTTATTTTTCATGAATGGGAACCTAGCCACGAGGCCATGATCGGTTCCACATTTAGTTTTTCGAATCTACACTAATTCAAAATTTTTTGAAGATATAGCCGATTAATTGTGTCAGCATTAAGTGACGGCAAGAGTGATTCTTAAACTTTAAACGCGGGCACGATAATTAAAAAACTAATAATCCAATCGATTCCAAATTTTGGGACGTTTTTCTGTGAGTGTGTATCTATCGTATGAACTAGGATAAAGCCAATCGGAGAAGAAATTCCTTATTTTTTAACTTAGTTTCTGGTCAAAATAGACCTATATCAATTTTTTTATCAAACGTCTGCCATTTTGTTAATATTTGAGCCAGAGAGCCAGACATGTACTCTTTCTAACATCGTTGGAATTTCCGGATTTCGATGTTCCAGTGAGGAGTTATCATGCCCACCATCAAAAATAAGGCGGGCATAATCACAAAAAACCAATAACAAAAAATGTTTAAATTATTTTTCTTCCCTTTTAAATCTTCAATTATCTTAACATGCATTGGTATTGATTTACCAGTCCAATGACTATCTTGAAAATTTAAAATCGAGAATGGGGAAGGTTATTTTACTTCCCTTTTAAATCTTCAATAATATATGTGTATAGTTACAAATCTTAACATGCATTGGTATTCATTTACCAGTCCAATGACTAACTTGAAAATTTAAAACCGAGAATGGGGAAGGTTCCCTTAAATAAATATTAGTTTTTTCCTTTTTTTTAAACTGACAAAAAGTAAACAAGATTCTAAGTTTTTATCATTTTATTATTATTATTAAATTGAGAAATTTTTATTAAGTGCATATATTAATGTATTTGAGGTTGATGGTTTCGAATATTATATTGTTAACTGCTTGGCTATTCATTATCATCTTTAAATTATTATTTTTTTTTTAATTCCTCGACATATCGAATTTGTGATTTCAAGACCAAATCAACTTCACGTGGAACTGGTTTCATACAAATTATAATTTCACGTATTTTATTAAACACACATGATATATATTTTTGATAATTTTTTTGTGACAACTGCATTCTGCTTATCATTTTATTATTGACTGATAATTCAGCAAAACACAAAAAACAAACAGCAATATTTATATTTTTAAAATAAATATTTCTTATTAAAACAAATAACATATCCTTAGAAATTAAAAAATAAAAATGTGGGATCGAATTTTAAAAAATTTAAAATTTTTAATATATTGAAAAAAATCAACACATTTTAAATTGAAAAAAAAACAATCAAATTAGTAGCAATTGTTGAAAAAAAAAAATGTTCGGATTAAAAAAACAAACAAAAATGCTCAATATAAGTAAAATGTATAGATGAAAATATTATTAAAAATTAGTATTAATTATGAAAAGAAAATATAAGAATTAATTCTAAATTAAAAAATATATATATATAATATAAGCCCATATTTGATCCCACTTTTCTTTTGACAAACAATACTATTATTGGTGGCCTTAAGTGCAATACAATTGTTATTGAACATGAATAACAAATGATTAAAAGTGCCTTCAATATTTTGTATTTTGCTCAAAAACAATATACTTATATCATATACCAAACACACACACATTTATAACGCTCAATATTATTAATGTAATTGAAGTTATTTAAGATATAAATATGAATTTCATAAATATATAGCATAACAAACCAAAAAAGGAATACTCTAACGAAACATATTCTAGTCGATTATTTTATAATTTAGAATTAACAAGAACAACAAATGTATGGATTTTTACATATAAAAGATTAATAAAAATAATAAAAAAATATATTTAGCAATAAAATGCATTTATTAAATTTATTAAAAAAATAATACAAAAAAAACAGAGTTGAGATCATTAAAGAATAAAAGATCTCACGATTTTCAAATAAAATACCAAAACATCATAATATATTCTTATAGAAGATCAGAAGGACTCTTAATACCATATGTCCTCTTATAGACTACATAAGGTCTTTTTGTAGAAAATCATAAGGTCTTCTTATAGAATACTTTACATTTTTCTTATAGGAGATTCTTTTCTTTTTCTTATAGGAAAAAGTCTTCTTATAAATTACCTAATATTAAAATAAAATCAATACACATACTTTATATACATAAAAAATTAGAACTTTACTTCACAGACTTTGTGAAATATATGAACTCCCAAAGTTAAAGGAAAAAGAGCATCAGATGATCTTCTTATTGACACCATAATATCTTCCTTTAAATTATTAGAAGGTCTTCTTATAGAAGACCAGAAGAAGGTACTTTTATATAAACCCGAAGGTGTTCTTATGGACGACTAGGAGGACTTCTTATGAACGAGGATAAGAACTTCTTAATGAGGATCAAATGATCCTCTGTGATGATATGTCGTTCATTTTTTCTGTAGAAAAAACAGGGGATGTGCATAATTTTTTTATAACAAATGTCCTCAGAAAATGTAGACCATTTTATTGTAGAAAAAACATTTTTAAATTGTGTATAAAGAATTTTTTATATAGATAGTGAAAATCAATTTTTTCGAAAAAGTCCTTAAAAGCGAGGATATTTTTTTTTCTATAAAAAATCCTCAGCTGCGGAATTTGTTCACCAATTTTTTAAAGTAAACCATTCCTCAAAAGCTGTTGACCAATTTTCCTATATAATAAATACCGATGAGCTGTGAATAAGTTTTTATATATATATAATTATTTTCATAGAAAAATATAAAAAAAATATTCACAATATTTTTTTCTAAAAAAAAAAAAAAAAAAATTAACGAACGTTTTTTTACCCTCAGCCTTATGGCCAATGATGGTATATATACTTTGATACGTTGAAAATGTGCCTCATCGCATCGTTATATTTCTTCCAAACATAGTTCAAGTTCGAAGATAGGGAACATCGGTCTACTCCTTCTGTTACCTATCACACAAAAAGATCAAAAACTTGTGAAAAAATTTTAAAGATTATGAGCACGAAATATTCAATTTGAAAAAAAAAAAACTTTGCACAACCTATTATCTTTACCAAGTCTAGATCAAGTTCGAAGATAGGACCCATTGGTCCACTACTTCTGGACCACAAAGCGTGACAAGTTTGAATATTTAAAAATGCAATATCAGGTGAATCGAATGTCCGATTAGAGACAAACTGTGCACGTCATAAC